TCAACTTATTATTTAGCCAACTCAGCCGACTTTCCTCTTTCCGCCCTCCCCTCTTTCGGTGCTTGTCTAATTTTATTGTTTACCCAGAGTGCCAGAGTTTTACTCGCATTTTCACAACCGCAATTCTGCGGCATTGATGGCATCGTTTATGGACCACCCACCGAATCCAATTTGTAATCGAACCAAAGTACAAACCGTTGTTTAAATCGTGAATTAAATGCCCTTTCTGTAAAGCCATTGATATAAATTTATTTCCAAGCTAAAATTCGGTTCTCAATAGTAGTTGTATGTGTTTGATGATGATATTACAATGGTAGAATTATGGCTAAACCTTTTTAAATATCCGGCTCGAAGGACCAAACATATTATCCTTTTTATTATCCTTTTTATTATTAAAAACTTAAATTTAATTTACTTGGACATATTTTGCTTATTGTTAGGGTATTTTTCAGCATCTGCTGCTCTCCCTTTTACCTTTCTGTTTGCCAGGTAATAATTGAAATTTTAATTGAACATTTTTGCCAAGGCAGTGGCATAAATAAACACCTGAAAGCAAACTATACGCACTGCATACCGCCAGGTAAAAAAAACCATCGGAAGTTACTCCGAGGGAAATGGAGAAAAAAAGGGAAGATACAGTTTCTTTTTTTGCTGGGGTGTGTGAAAAGGGGGGCACATGCACCTGGCTTGGCCCCAAAATTCCGCTGAGCCCGCAAAATTCATTAAAACGAAATCGAAATCAATTGGGCGTAAAGTTTTATGTAGGCTTTTATTTATATACATACGAATATACTTTTTTTTCATTCGGCTCACCTCGCGTTGCGTATACGCCATGGCTAACGAGCTGAAATACAAATTTTTATGTGCGCCACATAAAATTATTGTAACGCAAACAAAATACAGCCGAGAGTTGAGGCCTCAAAAGCCGGAAAAGTCGGGATATGGGTAGATGGGTGTACCGACGTAATCCGACAACGTCATTAATAATTCAGCGCTCAGTCGAAGCCCATTTAAATCACAACCAGTCCTTTCTGGCCACATTAAATTGATCCAATTGAAATAAGCAGCGGGCCGTAATTAATTGAATCGTTTCGGTGTCATACAAATATTTAATAATGCCAGTTGCAATAAACTAAGATAATGAAAATCATTTAATATAATTAAAATGACCTGCAAACCATTTCAATTGACAAAAAATAAAGGCAGCCCGAACAAAGAACATTATGACAAGCCGACAAAAAACGATTTCACACTTGCTGGAAAAACCAAAAAATGTAAATAAACGAGGCGTCTAAGTCAGCGCCCAAACATATGCAACAATTTATATCGCTTTACGCGGCCTTTGACCCACAGAGCGTGACATGGGTGGCGAAAGGGGGGCGCACATTTGTCTTTTTGTATCATTAAAAATTGACTGGGAGTTTATTATGATTGAACTGTTTCCATCTGGCATGTGGCACCCGCACGGCATTAATACACATCAGGCAGCGAACGACTCCCGGCTCAAACTGTACGTGTACACAGAGAGAAAAACCATCTTGATTTAGATGATTTCTTTTTGACCTGTCAAAAAATGTGTGCACTACACCAAAGAAATCTAAAGCGTTTTAAAATCACTTGTAAAAGGTGTCTAAAAGTAGGCAACAATATTTTCGAATCTTTAAGTTGAATTCTTAGGTCATAAATAAAGAATTCTATGTTGTTTTTCTGTGTAAATGTGTGAGTATAGACAGATAGACAGGCCGAGACTTCATTTACATGCTGCACACACACACACACACACGTACAGGAAAAAGCGGGGAAAATGCGGGAAAAGGCGAGAAAAAGACAGAAAATGCGGATTGTCGGCAGGTGGTAGGAGCGAGCACACTTTTGCCAGTCGCAGACGGAAAATCGCCCAGGCGACAGAAACAAATAATGTTTTCGTGATTTAGAACTATTAATACCGGCAAAAAATTAAAAAAAAATGTAATATGAAAACTAACAATTTATTAGGGGAATAGAGATATCAGTTCGAACTTATATCATTTTTTTGAATTCTTATAAATTTTTTAAGTATGCACTTGAATAGTATAATTATATTTTATTATACCTATTTAAAAATTCTTGATATTTCATATATTGAATCTAACCAAATCAAATAACTATTGACATTTTCGCAAGTCCTTGCCAAGTGCTTAAACGCCGTCAGATGTTCGGGATGCGGGGGTAGATTAAAGCAAATGTGTTCTATCCAAAAAAAAAAAAACAAAAAACAGTGGATTGGGGGGGATTGGTTACCACCCATTTGGGTGTTAGTGGGTGGCTGGATTGCTTTACTCGACGAAGCGGCGAAGCGGAAATGTTGCATGCCATGCACATACAAGCCGCTTACCAACTGAGCCCCAAGTATTCCAAAGTACGGGTAACAGACACATCGACAGATGTTGCAGCCAACATTGATTTACATGTTAACAGATGTGATTGGTGAGGTATAGAAAAAAAAAAGCGGAGAAAGGAGCAACTACATTGCTTTTACCAGGTATTCAGATGGTCTTTAATAACATATATTCTGCAAAATTATTCATCTGGTAATCACTATAAATATAGTGATATTAACTAACAATACTCTCCGCCTTTTTGGTGTTTGTTGCTCTTCGTACGTTTTTTGGTATTTTTTCCAGTATTGTTTTTGGATTCCAAGAACTCCGAATAATTATTGTCCTTAAAGGTCATACCAGCATTTCTTTTAGCTTGGGCCCTCCTTTTCTTTTCATCTAATTCGTTCTTAGCCTTAACTTCGGAAATCTTCTTATCCAATCTTTTCTTCTGAGCTAAAGCTGCGGTCATCCTGGGTTTCTTGAATGTTCTATTCTTGACTTTAACAGGTTTTTCCTTCATCACGTTAACTTCAGAACGGGGCTTCAGGGTCTTTTTTAAAATTTTTATGATTCCCATCTTATCAAGAGCCGACTTGTTAACGCTCACCTTCCTATAAAATATAATAATATTCAAAATAATTAAATTCGGATTTATAAAACAAAAGTCCCCGCTTAAGATCATGGTTGGCTACCCCTAAATGATTGTGTATTTCGGTGACTAAAGGTGCATGATGCATTTTCACACCATTTTCCCACCCAATTTCCCACTGCAGTGGCAACTTTGTAGTGGCCGACGAGGAACTTTTGCCGATCTCTCTGCTGCGGCTACATTCAATTGTCGTTTTCATGGTCTGTCTCACAATTACGAATGAAAATTAAAAAGTTTTCCGTGTGTAAGAGGGTGGTGGGGTACGGAAAACAGTCGTAAGATGATGTGGGAAATGGGAAACTTTCGCCACAGCAGCAACTTTGTGGGCTGAACGTTTTTGTTTCGGTCTCAATTTGAATGTTTTCCTGAAACACTTGCCATCGAACGGCTTTCATGGGATTTATATCTGCTTGATTATTGCCCGAGATGCCGTGTGTCCTTGGTAGGTGGCAATTATCTCGCCGGTTATTGCCGATTGTTCGGAACGGGGATGGTAATGGGAATCCCGGGGAATCGGAGAACTTGAGGGCCGATATCGGAATAAGCCTCTTATGGCAATGTCAATGCCACAGATGGGGTATTAATATGCCGCGAACATGAGGCTGTGTCGGCAAAACATTTTTATTATTATATTTACATCGATGTTATTTTTTTGTTTCAGCCCAAATACTGATTTGTTTTACTGGAAAATCAGGTTTTGGGTTTTGGGTATTTTTTGTTGGATAAGATGTACTGTTTTGAATTACTTTTTGTGTTTTTTCGCTGTAATTTTACCAAAAATTGTCGGAAATCTATGAGACCTACTTGAACAGACGTTTTGAACAACTGACGACTCAATAAATAAATCTCTGTTACTTTTTGACTGATTTAGAAAAGCAAATTTGTCGACCAAATTTTTCATTTCTCAGAAATTTACATCACAATTTTTTGCAAAAAAGGGCCAAAAATCTAAAATGCAGGTTTGAATGTCAATCGATTGCAAATTTTATTACGAGTTCATCGGTGTATGACACTCCATACTTGGACCATTATTTTCTTTGTTTCGGCCAAAATACTGATTTGTTTTAGTGGAAAATTAGGATTTAGATTTTTGGAAAGAATTGTTTGATCATCAAATTTTGGCTTGAATTGAAACTGATCTTAAAAACCAGACCCGAGAAAGGACTCTCAGAAAAAAAACTTTTATATTTATTTATTATTATGTATAAAAATATTAAATTTTTCGAATAAAAACTCTTTAAAATTATTTTTGTGTAATTGTGCCATGCTTAAAAAGTTCTATTCTTTTTTGTTAGATATTGTTAATACCGTTTCTATTATTGATATCAGCTCTTCTGTTTTTCTATCCATCACATTTGTGGCAATCAATTCCGCAAAATTCATCTTTTGTCTTGAATAATCTGTGCCATTTATTTGGCTCCATCGTGGGCATTCATCATACCGTTTGCAGTTAACCTTTCCGCAGCATTTGAATGTATCTTAATGCCTTTGCCATCTGTATCCCGTAGCTGTTGCATCTGCTCAGCTGGAAAGCTCCAGAGGGAAAAGCTTCGCATTCAGCTAAAGCTTCTCCCCGCTTTTGCGCCCGCTATACTACCCACCACCCACCACCTACCACCCGATTTTCCGATTTTCCCGCGCTTCAAAGGAGGCGGCTGTGCTCCTTCGTTTCGTCGTTTTTCGGCATGCACTTGTGGCGCTTTCAAACCACCCAAAAACCTCCTTGCCATTTTCCACCACACCCCCCAACAGAAGCTGAAGCAGAAGGCAACCTCTCTCACCTTGGCACACTTCGGCTGGCCGGATTCAGGTTCGGATCGTGGTTCGTTATGGTCCCTCGGCTGTGCGATTTCGATTTCGGGCATGCATCAAGTGTAACGCGAGCGTTTGCTGCCAGTTTTTCCCGGGAACTCGACGCAGCGTGTTGTTCCATCGCTGCTGCCTAAAGCCAATACCAAAACCATTTCCATCTCAACAGTGGCCAACATCCAGCCAACAGCCAACTAAACAGTCCAATTTTGGCCAGAAACAAAAGAGCATCATCCTGGCCGCAAAAACACGAGCGCAGAATTCAAATTCAAGTTCGAATTCTTCTCGCTTAGAGTGAACAATATTCTTCTTTTTTTTTAAAAAACTTGTGCTTCTTCTGTGTCTCTTGAGTGCAAATTGGAAAAACTTAATTTACCAAAAATATAATTAAAAAGCCCTAAATTGTTTCGGAAAGATAACTCCTAAGAACAGGTACCAACAAAAACGTCTCGAGTTAAACAAAAAACTTGCTTTGTTTGTGTTCTATTAATTTATTTAAATAGTTAATGTGAACGTTGGGAAAATATTTAATATTAAGTTAATCTTGAAGCTTGGATTGTTAAATAAATTCTGAATTTTCATGGTGAAAAACATTTAATTTAATTATATCCAATTAAATTATTTTATTAGTGTGACTTTCGAATTTAATTTTTATTAAATGGTTTTTAAACAAAACTTCAAAAATACTTTAAGTTGGAAAAATAATTTATTGGCAATTATCCCCAAGTATTACCAAAATATTTTCCACCGATACTCGCTGGCTACCGCAACATCATCATCGATCCGATCCGTCGAACGATAATTCATTTGTAATCTACATTGATCATAAATAAACTCATCGCTTGTCATAATTAATTCAATGAAGTTTTTTGTTCCTCTTTTTTTTTGGTTTTTTGGTTTTTTGTGCTATGAATCCTCGCTCTGATATTTCGATATCGTAAATTATACTAGCTGGGTGACATTGCTCATACGACGCGTTGGACGCGAGGCATTTTATGTGCAAACTTTTAGCTTTGTTTTATTTTATTTTTGGTTTTCTGCTTCGTTTTTTGTGCCCCAGTGATGATTTATTATTATGCCATTATTGGCTGACTTCTTATCGCACTTGTCGCAGCTTTTTGCTTGAATGGGATTCTTTTTTGGCCAAAGGAGCTACCCATATATATGTATCTCACCCATGTGCATATGTGTGTGTATGTTTAATTCATTAACTGAGTAATCGCAATCGATAATGCGATAAAATGTTTATTCTACGCACAGATAAACCGCTCTATTGGCAGCGAATGTAACCATTGTCATGGCCAACTGCCGATTATTGCACTTATTACTCATCAATGTCAGGGTTTCATCTAATTTTTTGTTCCCAATCGTGGCATTTTCGTTCGTTTGCTCGGGAATCCCCTGTCGGACCGAAAGTGCAAATTTTGGGATTGGTTAATGGCCAACTTTACGACCTCTGTTGCCCTGCATTTTAATGGTCTTTTGTCTTAGGCATCACACATATAATACATATAGAAATTCCTTTCCGGGGGGCACGGGGACCATTAAACAAGCTCAATCAGCAGAAAGAGATATAGGGGCTCTCTTATCTGTCTCGTGTGTAATCGCTCACTCATTGTTATGACTGCCATGCAGATTAACTCCCCGCTGGATTGGTAACTCCACTCCACACTCCACTTCATATTCCACTTCACGGATATCCCTGCGTATTGGGGATTCGGGAATCGGGAATGGTGGGATTAATGAAGCTCAGAGCGAATTCACCGAACGATTTTCCGGGATTTGCGGCAAAACCGCGCGTTTCACCAATGTAAATAGAAAATATCCAACATGCTTTGCCTGTTCTCGTAGACAAAACATGCATTTTTGATTACAAAAACATTGAAGTCAAATTAAATCTTTAAAATACAATATATTGTTTGAAAAACTTATTTTATAATTAAAATATCTAAATATATATTTTTTAAGAATTTTTTATTTTAATTTAATTTAACCACAAGGGCTAACGATTGTTAAGAAATAATATTTAGACTGAAAAGTTCTATGCAATATTCGGCTTACAACAAATTCACCATACACTTATGAAACGCACTGTAAGTGATTGATACGATTGCAATTCCCCTATCTCGTTTATCGCGAATCAAGTTATTCATTGAGATATTCCAATTCCGAATCCAATTCCCCTTCGAGTCTGATAAAGTCGCACTGAAACTGAAACACTAATTGAAACGACAACAATGTGACACCCAAAAAGGGGCGTTGGGGGCGTGGCTGGGGGCCTGGGTGCTGGGTATCCCCAATGGGAGTGAGGAGAGCAACAAGTCAGCTCCTAAGTCGTGGGACAGTTCATTAGGGGATAAAATTCAAGACAACACGCTTGCACACACACACACGCGAAACTAGTGGAAATTGTCTCATTAGTACAAGCACGCATCGCACTCACACAGGGGCAAGAAACATGCACTGAAAACAATTAAGGAACCCAAAGATTGTTATATAAAAAATGTAAAATTCTGAAGTAATTTCTTAATAATAATATGAAACTTCAAAAAAATATCGATCTCGATGTGTATTTTCTCTTCAGCATCGATATTATCGAACATATCGATCATTTTCAAACTCTAATTTAAAAGGGCATTGAATTCGAATAATTCGAATATAACTCTTTTGACATTTCTTAACTTTTGTACAACATTAAATACTCCCACTTTTCTCCCAGTGCTTACATATACATTCGCATAAGAGGCGAGAGGCCATAATTTCCCACCCAAGACGCTTGTCTATAAAAATTCTCACAAATTGTCGTCGTCATTGTTGCTGTTTTTCCTTGTCGGTTGTTATATATCTCCCCGAACTATTGTTGTTTTTTTCTTTTTTTTTTGTGTTTTTGAGCTGAATCTGTTGCAGGCATAAAGATGAAGTCGAACAGCCGAAGAACGGCGAACTGACAGCGCTCAGGAAATGGAAAACTAGAGCGACAACTTTTGCGAAAAACAAAAGACAACTTTTTCCGCACACTGGGTTCTTAAGCAACTGGAAAAGGAGAACGTAAGATGACAGGAACTTAAAGCAAACTTTTTTTTCTAGGTTTTACTAAGTATTCTAAGAATGGCCGACATTAAGTCCTAAGGTTTCTTAAATATTCAAGCCTAACTTAAGAGCACTATCAATTGAATCAATTTTAGTCATTAAAATCAGGAACTTACAAAATGTAATTTTAATTTAAAAAAAGGGTAAAAAAATAACCATTAAAATAGGTAGCTAATGAAAGACTTAACTAATTGGGCGCCCGTAATCAGCAATCTTGCCCCACTGTGGCGAGCAACAAGCACCATTTCCACAGCCACATCCTTCACACACATGGCCCATGGCTGATAAGGAGCTCTTGTGTGCCGGCATGTCATTTGGCTGCTTTGGGTCATTGGCTTTTCCTCGTGGAAAATGTCCCAAGCCTCCGAATTCACAACTCAGACTTCAGTTGCTGCCTGCACAGCAAGAAAAATGTGTGTGATAATTAATTTAGGGTCTGTGAATCTTGAAATAACTAATCAAAAAATTTTGCCTAATATTTTTTTAACCAATTTTTTTAACAGCTAGATATTTTTTTCAAGACGCGAATTCTTTAGCTTTATTTTTATCCTTTCTTTTTGTACTATTATTTCTTTTGTACTATTTTCTAAACTATTAACTGAATGTGGATAACGCCTTTAAATTTTATATTAAATGATTTATTTTATGTGAATAAAATCCCAATATTATGATAATATTTTTTTCTGTGTTTCACCCGTTTAACTTTAATTCAGTTTGGTTCTATATACGCTTTTTGGCCCGATTCTTGTTGCGAATGATAAGAGCAAGTTAATTTTGTTGGTTTTCCGAATGGTTGTTGCCTTCATTTCTATTTGCTGTTACTCTATTTGTTGTTCTTTTCATTTGTTGTAGGGGGCTGTTGCTTGTTGTTGACAGTGTGCGGGTGCTCTGTTTTCTCCTTTATTTATTTGTTTTATTTTTTGCGTCGAGTGTGTGTGAAATTTTTGTAATGCCTGCGGCGAAGATGCCACCTACTGTCACCTCTTTTCCCCTTGTTTATGGGATATGGGAGGTCTGTGCGTATGTTTGCTTAAATTGCCTTTTTCGTGTCATCCATGAGACAGACACAAATTGTTGTGCCTACATATAAATGATAAATATGCATGTCCCACGTTAACCCCATGAAAACAAACCACCCGAAAACCGCTCTCTTATCTCTTCATGCTAAACAAAACCGACACAAAATGGCATTTATAATTACTTGAGCCCTCGTTTTGGCTGCGGCTTTGCGATTAAGCCGATCTGAAAAAGCCCCAAAACCCAAACCCTTTTACCTATACCACCTATCTACCTACATATGTATGTACATTTGTACACCCAGAGTTTTACTTGATGGTGATTGTGACATATCAAAGTGTGTGTCCTTGCGCCCCAACCATTTTCATAAATATTCAAATCAATTTAGACAAAGTTCGCTCAATGGGCAACGGGAATTCGTAATGCCACAAAGAGTTGGGTTTAATGTTCAAAGCGGTCTGATTATGGGGCTTAGTTTATGGGGGTCTTACGCAGTAAATCTCCCAAAGCTACCTTACATTTAATAGGCTGGCTGGTAAAGTAAAGTGTTTATTCGAACTATTCTTCCAACTATTTATTAACAAAAAATTTATTTAAAATTCTCGATATATTTAATAACAAACATTTTGGCCAAGTAACAGCAAAAAAACCAAAAGAAAAAATTCCAGTTTTTGTCAAAAACTGAAATCCCGAAATTCTCTAAAACAAAGCAGTTTTTTCGCTAAAATAAAGCAATTTCTGATTTAAAGTATGGAGTGTCATACCTTTCTGAACTCGTTATTAAATTTTCTAGCGATTGGCATTTAAATCTTGACATTTTATGTATTTTAAATTTTTCGCAAAAAATCATGGGGTACCCCCTTATAAAAAAATTAAAAATTGGCGAAAATTTTATTTTTCCAAAATCACACGGAAAGTTTTATGGATTTATAGCAAATTTTGTTATCTTTTCAAAGCAGTATGTATTTTTTGTGTAGGACCATTTTTGGCCAAGTTACAGCAAAAAAACCAAAAGAAAATATTTCAATTTTTGTCAAAAACTGAAATCCCGAATTTCAAAAAAAATAACAAAACCGTTTTTTTCGCTAAAACAAAGCAAATACCGATTTAAAGTATGGAGTGTCATACCTTTCTGAACTCGTTATTAAATTTTCTAACGATTGGCATTTAAATCTTGACATTTTATGCATTTTAAATTTTTCGCAAAAAATCATGGGGTACCCCCTTATAAAAAAATTAAAATTTGGCGAAAATTTTATTTTTCCAAAATCACACGGAAAGTTTTATGGATTTATAGCACATTTTGTTATCTGTTCAAAACAGTA